CCAACCGAGGTGCAGGAATGGGTGAGAGACAGGCAGCCCAAGATTTTAGCAGAAGCAGCCCAGAGGGTTGACAAGTACGCAGATACCCGGAGGCCCCAACGCCCCACTGCCTCTCACAACTACTGGCCCCCCATAAGACTCTTTCCACCACCTTCCCCCGCCACAACAGTCCCGCTACAAAGGCTCCACGACTCAGACACCCTCTCAGCGAGCACCGACAGGGGCGGATTGGCAATGCTTTGAGAGCCACCAACCCGGTCATGTTAAGCAGAATTGTCCCCAGTTCTGAGGCATAGCAGAAAAGGGGAAGGCAGGGACAGCTCCTACTACCACCAAGCAGTTGGTGGCCCCCAGGAAATATCAGCTTGAGCTATTGAAGATAGCTCTTGATATCCGCTGGCAGGGCATTTGGGAAAGGGTTGTACTCAGCATCGGCTCACCCAAAGCTTCTTCTGGCCAGGCATCTCAAAGGAGCTGAGGCAGTATTGCCAGACCTGTGATGTCTGCTAGAGAGTGGGGAAGTGGAGCGATCAGCACAAGGCCCCGCTCCAGCACCTATCCATCAGTGAAGACCCCTTTGGCAGAGTAGCTGTCGATATCATAGGTCCCATGGCTAAGCCTAGCCCCTCAGGGAAGAAGTATATTCTGACCATTGTGGACTACGCAAGGCAGTCACCCGGCCTTGGCAGGCAGAGACTGTGGCCGAAGCCATGATACGAGTGTTCTCCTGGATGGGTTTTCCCCGTGAAATCATCTTGGAGAGAAGCTTCCAGTTTACTGCCAAGATGACTAATCAACTGTGGAGGTTATGCAGCATTAAACCAATCCTAAGCTCCCCCTATCACCTTCAGACCAAGTCCTGCTAGCCCGATATGCCATAACCCCGGAGGCATACCGCAGGAAGTTCAGGGAGATGAATCAAGGGGAGAAGGACTCCCATGCAGAGTCGGCCTGCTGCATCACCCGAGCCACATAGAATTGGATGACCTCGCAACAGACAAAGTCTCCTGAGAAGATCCTCCAGCTGTTTATGCTGGAGCACTTTTATAATGGGTTCCCGACCAAGGTGCAGCAATGGGTGAAAGACAGGCAGCCCAGTGGGCCGATGAGTACGCAGATACCCGGAGGCCCCAACGCCCCACTGCCTCTCACAGCTACCGGCCCCCCATAACAGTTCACTCCGTGGCTCCACAACTCAGATACCCCCTCAGCAGGTACCGACTGCAGCGGATTGGCGATGCTTTCAGTGCCACCAACCTGGTCACATTTGGCAGAATTGTGGGACCGACTGGAGGAACTCACTCACCTGGTGAGAGGGAACCTCCAGGCGGCAGAGAGGCGCCAGCGCACATGGTATGTTCGGGGAGCCAGGAGACGTAGCTTTCAGCTCGGTCAAAAGGTTTTGGTTTTAAAAGAGACCCTATGGATTTAGTGGCAGGCTTTGGGGACAAAGGGAACAGAGTGCCTTCCTGCGCTGGGCAGAGTAGATGGGCCAAACGGTTCTTATCTGCCGTCACATTCTATGTTTCTATGTTTCTAAACACATTTTATGAACAACATTCAAGTTACAGCTCTGAAGTCAGTGTGTTCAAAAGACACTTTGAGGCCCACCTGTAAGATCCTGACACTTGCTTACAAATCTCTACACAATGCTGCTCCCACTTACCTATCCTCACTAATACAAAAATATGTCCCGTCTAGGCCCCTATGCTCTGACGGAAACCTACGTCTAACCTCTGTTCGTACTCCTACCTCTGATGCTCACCTAGGGTTGCACCGTTCCTATATAACGCCCTTCCCCTCTCTGTTACACTCTCACTCAATGTCCACTCCTTCAAAAAATCTTTGAAAACTTACTTCATTAGGAAAGCATATCAATTAAACTTTGAACAGCTTTCTCTCCCCGCACCCTGATTCCTCTCCTGAAACTGTAATCAAAACAAAATACCAAGCCCTCAGTGAATACTATCCTACCAACCTATTTTTCTACCCTACCCTTACCGTTTGTGTCATTATACCCGACTCCTTCTAGCATGTAAGCTCATTGAGCAGGGCCCTCAATCCCTCTGTTCCTGTGTGGCCAACTTGTCTGGTTACAAATGCCTGTCTGTTAGTAACCCATTGTACAGTGCTACAGAACTTGTTGGCGTTTTATAAATAATAATAATAATAATATGCAATGGTACACAGATTAAAAATCCTAATCTAATTTGTTTGCCATCAGATTGCTCCCCTTTGCTGTGGCTGTCAGTGTATATGATTTGGGACGCACAAATTGTGGATATGTCACCAGCAATCAAGTGCTTTGATTCATTTAATAGGGCATAGGGCATTCCCCAACCTTGACTTTGAAAGTCCCCTACATTGCTTTTATCACCCATCTTTTAGTCAGAACTATTTGTTTATTATGGGGAATGCACCACTTTTCGAGTTTTGTCTTTATAAATGCATTTTTTTTAACAAGTTTTTTTTTGTTTCATTTTTTTCTATGGAATAGTTCAATAACATTAGCAAGATAGTGTGAAAGATATTGCAATATAGTTCGATTTCCAGACATCTGGACAATAAATCAAGAATTTATCTCTTGGAATAAATTACAAATTGCAAAATATTTTATACATCTAAAATCTAATCTTGTTAAAGAAAAATGTAAGAATAATAAATATGCTATATACACTTAGTATCCCATTTTACTGAATATTACTACATATTCCACATACATATGGTTGGAGTAGAGATTGTAGCCATATTAGTCCATTAATCAAGATGTAAAATAACAGATGAAATTAGTATCTACCTACATATGGACTATATAAAAAGTACACCTTTCTTTCTTACCTATAATGGTAGTACATGGATATCTTCCTACTGCCTATACAGTGCAACGTTTAGATCAGGTTCCAGCTATTCACAGAATGTATTACTACAAAGTATGCTATATGCTGCTGGAATATTAAATGACCACTAACCTAATGGTGTAAACTTATAACCAGAGTTCCAAATGTCCATCAGCTATAGCTTACTACAGTTACATCTAATGTGTAAGCTGTCTTAGACTTGTTTAAAGGGGCATACAATAAATCATGACCTGCTTCACAACTCTGACTTTTACTTATAAATGCTGCCTCTCACAACCACTCTTTGCTCTAATGTCAGTAGCAGATTGGATGAACTGGCTAAAAAAATAAATTTAGTACCAGATATTTCCCTCAAAATAAATGTTATAGAGGGGAAGAAAAGGATGTGATTAGAATGACATACACAAGTATTGTAAAGCGCTGTGGAATAAGCTGTACTATATAAATAATAACCAATAATAATAAGTAAAAGGTAAAGTAAAAAGATTGAGACATAGTGGATTGCCAACTCGTTGCTATTGCCATGCACATGCCATCAGTGCTTCTCAGAGAAGCATTTCTTTGGACACAAGTCTTCATCTTGATGATTTCAGGCAGCACTGTCACCGTCTGGGGATTTTGCAGGATTCGCAAAAGACCCCCAACTGTTACATCGCCAATGGTGGTCCGGTGACGGAGAGGAGGGGGCAGGTAAAGATGTGATTTGCTTATCTGAACCTGTCCCTGGCGGGTGAGGCCAATTTCCTCTGGCTGGTTCTTTTCAGCTCCTGGTACAAGATTACAGAATTGAGGTCTATGGAGGTACTCACAAGACAGCTGGATCTTCCATAGACAGAGCCTATTCCCTGCTTTGTCTCTGTATATCTCTTGACTGGGTTGAATTTCAGTGAAATTCCAACACAGTCAAAATTAGTATTTCAATAGGGGTGGGCAGTGCCATTTTCGGTGACGATGAATCATTCTGCAGTTTGTCTGCCAGTAAAGACCCCTTCCCAAAAACATATTCTGTTATACCGAACCTCAGTTTTCTGTATGAATACCTATATTTTACACTTGCTTTCATCATAATCATAAGACTCTGACAGAATTCTGCTTGTCTCTGGTCACTTGATAAAGTCACTGGACTTTGTTAAACTGCCACCAGCTTTACAACTTTGATTAATTCCTGGATTATGTTTTTTTTTCACCATCACATCATGATCATTTCTTGAAGGCAGTTAAAGGAACACTGTAGGCACCCAGACCACTTCAACTCATTAAAGTGGTCTGGGTGCTGTGTCCTATTTGCCCCTAATGCTGCAATGTTAAACATTGCAGTTCCAAAGAACTGCAATTTTTACATTGCAGCACTAAGTCTGTCCTCATTGGCTGTCTACAAGACAGCCAATGAGGGTGCTTCCGGAATCGTTATGGATTTTTGGTCTGTTATCTGATGCTGGATGTCCTCACGCTCTGTATGGGGACCTCCAATGTCAGATTTTTCCCTATAGGAAAGCATTGATTCAATGCTTTCCTATAGGAAGGTCTAATGCTTGCGCGGGGGGAGGGGTGGCGGGGTTTCGAAGTCCCTCGGCCCTGGGATAAGGTATGTAAATTAAGGGTTTGTAAAACTTTATTTACCGGGCAGGGGGTGGGCACGAGGGAGGGGGGAAGCAGGGGGATCGGTAGTGCCAGGAATACAGCTTTCCTGGCACTACAGTATCCCTTTAACTACCGAACAAAAACTACAATCCTTTACCAATCCTGAAAAGCTCACACTTTCAAGTTACAAATAGTTTGCAAATTATAAAGCAGTACTATAAGGTTTGCTTTGGTTGTTTTGTTTTTGTTCTGTTTCATAATGTGGCTTAGGTGGTCTTCAATTCTAACAGCCAAAAAAAAATCATAAAACCTTCACATAAGTATAACATTATAAAAAGGAAACCACCCAGGGTTGAGGGCTGAGGCACTCAAAGGAAGCCACTATAATATTTATATATCTAGGTCAGGGATAGACAAACTTTGGCACTATAGATGTTGTGGACTACATATCCCATAATGCTCTTATCGCCATAATGCTGGCAAATAGTTATGTCCCGAACGGTTCGCCGAACGGTTCGCCGAACGGTTCGCCGCGAATGGTTCGCCACGGACTCCAGTCAGCAGACAAATTCCAGCCAATCAACAGCAGACCCTCCCTCCCAAACCCTCCCACCTCCTGGACAGCTCACTAAGAATGCAGCTTCAAAATGGATGCTGTCCAGGAGGTGGGAGGGTCTGGGAGGGAGGGTCTGCTGCTGATTGGCTGGAATGTGTCTGCTGACTGGAGTCCACGGCGAACCGTTCGCGGCAAACCGCGGCGAACTGTGGCGAACCGTTCGCAAACCGTTCGCAAACCGTTCGGCGAACCGTTCGGGACATCACTACTGGCAAATCTTTAGCAGAGTTTTAAACCACAAAATGTATGAAATGCCAAAGGTTGTCTAGTCTTGCTCTAGATGATAGAAGTAATTCATATGTAGATGTTCTGAGCATACAGGTCAAAATTTAAAACATGCTTTTTGTTGTCATGGCTCATTTGAGGTAGTTTAGCAGCCCACATATTCAAAATACCCCAGTAAAAATGTATATTTGAAATATCTAGACCACTAAACATATTCTACTATGTACAATAATTATGTAGCAATTATATGTTAATAATTTAAAAGTTGATCTCTTCAAAACGATTCAATTAGGACACATGGAGTCCTGTAAACTCCAAGAAGTGCCTCTGTCTGGAAGACAGCCACTGGAGGCAGTCTTAGTACTGCAATGTAAACTAAGGTGGAAAGTGACATTGCACCTAGACCACTTCAATGAGATGAAGTGGTCTCGGTGCCTATAGGGTTACTTTAACCTTGTCACACCTCACGGCTTTCAAGCAGAAAACGGTTACATCCTGGTTGGTAAGCTCAGTGGCCTCAAATTCAAGAGGCAGCAATTGCCTAGAGCACCTGCCTTGCAAAGACTTCTCATTGAGCTGAATTGGGATTGTGATTGGACAGCAATAGAAAGTCTGGAGGGGGTTAGAAGGGGAAGGCTTACAAAGACTACATAGAAGTGCTCTACAGCTTCTTGCAAAGTGCTTTTTTCAGATATATCCAGAATGACAAAAATACTTTATTAAATACATGTATGATTTCAGTTGGAGTATATCTACTAAAGAGTGATTTTTATTTGTTTATTTTTTTTATTTGGGCAATGGAGTGTCCCTTTGAAGATATTTCCTAAAATATTAATTACACATGGTCTCCGATCTAATCTCTCACACATAGTGATACATCTAACCTCAATTAACTGCACCTGGTATGTTGTGATATATCAATATTTCAGGCATTGTACATCTAAGATTTACATAAGCATTAATGGTTTTTTTTTTTTTCAATAAATATAAAAATGCCATTCTTACATTTGGTAGCCATTTATCTTGGGACTCTGAGCCTTTAAAACTACAACAACATAACTTTAACGATATCCAGCCCCTGTATACACAATAAATCAATTGTATGCTTCATTCTAAGAAAGCAAAGCCACATGCATGCGCAACATGATACCAAAGGTTAGTTCATACAACAAACAGTTTTCTGTAATCTCCTTTAAAAAATGAAGAAGCAGTGTGATGAATAATTTTATTTCTGGTTTATCGAGTACTCACTCCAGTACAGTATCTAACCATGCCCAATCCCGTTTATAGCCAGTAGTGTCACGGCACCACCTGTTACAGTGTAAGAATGATAGGACTGAACTTGGCCCAAAGCTATCGGGTCAGCAAATGTCACAACTAACTTCAGTTTCAATGCATATGAATGCTTACGATCATTCAAGCCCAGAGGAAGGAAGGAGGTCTGTGATATCGTCTGTAATAGTAACCTTCACATATAAATATGCAGCACAGTCACATTTTCTCCGTCCCAGTATCTACGGTGTCAATTAAATCTCAAATGGACAGAGATAAATATAATTACAATAATCACTGTTTGGAAATTATTATGCATTAGACTCAGTACTAATGCACGCCTTTATATCATGAGATGGCACTCAATTATGTCTACAGTTCAATTACATGCTTATCTATCTGGGGATTTAGAAATAAAATGTTTGCACAGGCTGTCGGTGAGAATAATTGAGATACATTTGCACATTCTCGAGTCTTTCATTGCAGTCATTCCTATTCAAAGCATGGTGATATGATCAGGAGGGTGAAAAGCTTTGAAACACTGAAAAACCTGTGTAGAAGTCTTTGACAATTATTTTAATGGCTTATAAAAAAGAATTGAAGAGTCACATGTTCACAGAACAGAAAACTGAAGAACAAATGGATAGACAGCGGTTCACAATCAAAATGATGTCAAGAGGTAATAGTATACGAAATATTATATCAGGCTTATGTAATAAATATCCCATCACACTTAATTTGGTACGAAAGCCTCTATCCTACACTAAGAAAATAAAAAAAACAACAAAAGGAAAATGTAGAAAAATGTACATATTCATGGCAGCCAGCATAATGCTCAAACTTTTTTCCGACCATGATCTGCGATTGTCCAGTTCCACGTTTATCTAAAATGCTTCGAAATCAACTAGCGAAACTGAACAAATAAATATTGCATTGCTGTGTCATCAGGTTTTGTGCTACTACAAAGTAAACCACTATAATATTGTTCATCTCTAGATCATAGAGCTAACCCACATGCAGATGTTCTGAGCTTACAAAATATGCTCTTTGTTCTCAAATGGCTCATTTGAGGTAGTTTAGCAGCCCACACATTCAAAATACTACTAGGTAGTATTTATTATTTATATTTCAACAATTCCCTAGCCCCTTCAATACCAAGTGGTTTATAGAATAATCACCCTTAAAACTTGAGTATTTTGGGTGTTATGGAAAGTAATGTTTAAAAATATTTTTGTTTTAGTATAGCTAGATAGCACACTATTTCATGGAAACAAAATTTAAAAAAAATAATAATTTACAAAATAATGAGGAAAACAGAGTTCTAAATAAATAACAGACTTTTTTTCTCACATAGTCTATAGTCTTCTCACTTGTACATTGTCCAATATGCACTCAGTTCTCAGTTGTGTGCATGTGTGTATATATATCCCTATGTATATTGTATAAGTTGCCACATTACCATGACATTACCCATACCATATCGCCCTCGCATTGCAGCTGTGTTGCAAACTTGGACACACACACAAACACACACACACACACATACACACACTAACACATGCACGCATGTAAACACTTTGATGCATGCACATACACTGGATACACACATACACATACACACACACACTGATACACGCACATACACACTGATGAACAAACACACAAACATTAACAGATACAGTCAAACAATCACAGTGTGTGTCTGGCAGTGTGTATTGGCACCTGCGTTAACAAGTCTGGCATTTTGTAGTGTGTATTTACCTGAGCGTATTTGTCAGGCATTGAGTATCCTTGTGCATCTGTGACTGTATATCTTGGTGTATGTGTACATACTGTGCCTGCAATGCATATCTGTATTTATTTGTATATCTGTGTCTGTGAGTATTTGTGTGGAGGGAGCAGCTTGTGTGTCTTAGAGGGACTGATTGTGGCCTTGCAGTGGAGCTGTGTTGTCTGTGTGAGGGGTGATTGTGTGGATTTGTGCCTGTGCCAAAGGTTGTCTGTGTGATTATGAGGGTAACTATGGCAGAGTGGTTGTGACAGAGTGAGTGTGACATGGTGACTGTAACATAGTGAGTGTGATAGGGTAACTTTGGCAATGTGACTGTGTGTGACAGGTAAGAGTGACTGTTACATGGTGACTGTGTGTAAGGAGTTAGTGTGGGAGGTGACTGTGACAGGGTGACTCTGTTTAGGAAGTAGCATGATGCAGGGGAGCTTAGCAGAGCCATCGCTTGAAAGATAACGCCGGTTCTGCTATTAGCAAAATCATTGCAAACTAAATTGTAATCATGTGAACACAACCGTGGGGTATGGCTGTAGACCGTAGTAATCGTGTATACACAAGTGGTGACGTGAAAGGGCTAGTGATCATTTAAAAGTCAATCCCTTTCAAATACAACTGTACTATATTTTTTAGCAAACAAATGTTTCAAAAATGATTTAGATACATTCCACATTACATAAACGCCCAAAAATGCATACATTTCTTATGTTTTGTTGCAAAAAGGGTCACAATTCAAACTTTTCATGCACACTGTGCCATTCATTGGCTGACAACTGTCAGCTGGTGGTCAGACCTGCAGAAGCATGGCATCCAGGCCACCAGGATAGAAGCTTAGAGCCCGGCAGTTTCAATATAAGAGGGCAAACATCGTTTACATCGTTACCAAAAGTTTACATCGTTACCAAAGAACTGGGCAGTGGGCTGTAGTGGTATTATGCAGGTTTGTATGCTTGTAAAGTTAGTTGCTCTGTAACTTATGGTTTCTCCAATCATAGTATATGTATTTTTGTATTCAGGGTATTTTACTTTTTTGTATTTTGGGGGGAAATCAGCTGCAGATATGTATGAAACAGTTGAATTTCAGAGGTCAGAACCTTATGTTTCTTTCTTTTTCTTATGCAATAATACAAGCCACAATTAAAATCATTGCATTGAGATAACTATATATTGTTTGTGAGATTTCTGCTCTACAAAATTCTCGAAAATTAGACATATTAATCCAATTGAACACTACTTTAGGTAGAAAGAGCCACTTAACAAAAGCAGTATTTTCGTACTCACAGACCCTGTCAGGATAAAGTTTATTTGCAACAAGTAACACAAAAGAAGCTGACGAGCAGGCCAAGAACAAAATTAGTATTCTAGAAAAATGGAACACTATGTTCGCAAGTTTGTTAAAACACCACAAACATCAAGCAAATTACTTCAAAACTGGAAAAGAAAATAACAGGCTTTGAAACAACATGATAATTGTCAATATAGTTTACATAATTATATTGGACATGTTATCTATGGTTGCAATTAAACAAGGTTTAATATCTTGATTTTTCTACAAAAGATGGAGAAATTTAAAGAAAAGGTGTTGGTGGGAGGAGAGAATAAACATCAGTCAAGTCTTCACTGCAGTAAACAAACTAAAAGATAAAAGTTGTCAGAGTTAGAAAAGTGACACTTTAGTCAACAGAACATCTAAAGCTTAATGTAGTGGTTATGGTGGCTATAGTCTGTCCCTGCAGGCTCTTTAATATATTCATGCCTTTTCAGAGGATTCTTCATAGTCATCAGTGTTATACTCTTGCGTATAACTCTTGCGTACAGC